CTCAAGGCGGCGCGCAAGCAGGCGGAGGAGGCGCTCAGCAACTGCATGCAGGCGGACAAGACCAAGGCCGCCGACCTGCGCGCCGCCTACCAGGCGCACCAGGACGAGGTGCACCGCATCAAGCGCGAGTGCGAGCGCGACATCCGCAGGCTGGTACGTGCGCGGCACCCCTGCCCGGTCCCGGCAGGGACCCTGTCCTTCCGCACACGCGCATCGCACCCAGCCCCCCGCACACATGCGCCCAATCCCTCCCGCACGCCTGCATCCTGGCTCTCTGCTACGCATGCGCCAGTCCTCTCCACCAGCACGTGCTCGGTCCTCCTGGCTTGGAGTAGTAAAAGCCGAGTTTCGGGCACCCACTGTGCTCCGGTCATGGTTCTAGGCCCTGGGGTTCCAACCAAGTCCCTGCTGTCCTGGGTGAGGAATGGAGTCTTTGACAGGTCTCTCCTGCCTGTGGGAGACACCGAAAGAGATTTAACCACTGGAGGCAGAAGCACCAGGTGCCCTTTTGAAGTCCCTGTCCAGCTGTACAGCTCCAGACTGGTCGCCAGGCAGTGACAGGGCATCAGTTCCCGTCTTAACAATGCAATACCAAGAATGGCAGAAGAGATATGCTGATTTCATATTTCTAATTTATAGAAGAGCTAAGCACATCCCAATGCTGACTTCTCAGAAGCAGTACCCCGCCCCTTTCTGGCTTGTGTGTGTAGAGACCCTGCTATCACATGAAAGGAAGAGAAGGCTTTGGAGAAGGTCTCTCCTGGGTGTGAATACAGGTTCCCTCACTTGTTAGCTGTGTGACCCCAATCAAGTTGCTTACTGTCTCTGAGCCTCAGGTGCCTCATCTACAAAATGGGGGTAATCACGTATCTCCAGCGTCACGAGGATTAAGTTAACTAAAGCATCTAAGATCAGCTCATAGTGTCTGTAATGGCAGACCTGGAGAACATGTTCCTGTATTACAGGAAATATACATTTAAGGTAAATAAAATGAGGGAAAAACAAATATTTGTACAAGAGATTGACTGAGCTTAATTTAACATGTACCAAGGATTTGGTGTCTGTTTCCATTTCAGTGCCAAGCAGCAGTAGTCCCCGGCCAGGTGTTCTCAGTGCGTGTGGCCCACGTGGGGGAACAGAGTGAAAAGAATAAGCGTCCGTTTGTCCCGTTATCCTCCCGTTTGATAAACGGCCCTGCTCAGACAGGCCTCTTGGCAGCATGCTCAGAAGGTAGCCTGCATTTCATTTCTTTGTCAGCTGGATTGGATTAGAAATGCAAGAAGGCTTCCAGGCTTCCGCTCACACATTTAACATGCCTCTTGAAGAAACAGCCAAGAGGAAGAAGCAGTTATGGTCGATGTGGGGTGGTTGGACTCATTCCTTAGACCAGTTACAATTAGGTCTGGGAGGACTACCCCCACCCCCATACACAGGGGCTTAAAATCTGGAAGTTATTTCTCTTCCATGTGCAAAGTCTGGAAAGGGCTCCACAGAGTAGAGCAGGCCACACACGCCTCTCAGCTTTCCCTTCAGAGGGGACTCTGGGATGTGGTCCTCGTGGCCCCTCATTCCATGGAGTGCCAGCCATCATCACACCTTCATCCCAAGTTGGCAGTAGGAGGGCAGATGAAGGAGGGTGTGGTCTTCATTTTAAAAAATGCTTTTCTTTTTGGAGGTTCTGAACCCTTCTACTTCCACCTCATTGGCCGGAAGTTACTCGCTCGGCCTCACCCAGCTGCAAGGGGCGCTGGGAACTGCAGTGCTCCTCCTGAGTGCACAGCGGCCCCTGATACTTCCCAGTGTGGTGCTCTGCTGGGTTCCTAGGGCTGCCGCGACAGATCGCCACAAACTCCGTGGCTTAAAACAACAGGAATTTGTTCTCTCACTGTTCTGGAGTCTGGAAGCCTGAAATCAAGGTGTCAGCAGGGCTGTGCCCCTCTGGAGCCTCCAGGGAAGGCTCCTTTCTTGCCTCTTCCAGCTTCAAGTGGTTGCCGGGAGTCCTTGGCATCCCTCGGCTTAGCACTGCATCACTCCTGCCTCTGCCTCCATGTGGCCTGTTCCTCCTCACGTTTCTATGTCTTGTCCCCTTCCTATAAGGACACCAGTTGGTGCATCTAGGGCCCACCCCAATGTGGAATGACCTCATCTTAACTTCCATCTTAGTTACATCTTTGAAGACCCTATTTCTAATAGGATCACATTCTGCTTTTCCGAGTAGATGTGAAATTTGGGGGGAACACCATTCACCCAACTACAGGTATCAGGGAGAACAGGGAAACTGGATCGTGGGGTCGCAGCTTGTTTTCATTCTTTGATTCCCCAAACTTCGCAGTGAAGCGGAGCTCACAAAATTACTCATGAATTGGTGGGTTTGCTGGGAGCTGGCTAAGCTGAGGTTTTCACTGAGACGAGTGTCCTGATCGATGTGACTGCTGAGAAGGGATTAGATTCTGTGCCTGTGAGGGAGAGCATGGCGAGGGCTTTGGGGAGGCTGACCTGAGTCTGAATCACGGTTCTGCTGCTGACTAGGCCGTGGGCATATTCACCTCTCTGGGCCTCAGGCTTACCTATAAAATGGGGTAAATAATGTCTACATGGAGGGTCTTTTGAAGACTAAGAGAGAATGTGTCTCTTAGTACGTACGTAGTCCTGAGCTCACACTAGCACGTAAGAAGTGATCGCCATCATCCCCAACTGCGTATCACCTGTTAGAATTTTATGGTCACAAGTGGTAGAAATTCTGCCTTCAACCGGCTTGAATCGTGAGTCTATCGGCTCTCATAACTGAAGTAGCGGGACTACCTTCAGACACAGCTCCGGTGGCACAAATGACATCTCCAGGCCCCAGGTTTCTCAGGCTCTTCTCTGCCCCTGCTGTGTCATTCTTGGGCTCTGGGCTCTCAGCACGCTGATGGGATGCCACCGCTGTGCTGGGCCCAATATCCTCGCAGGAAACAGCCCAGAGAAAGTGAGAGAAGCTCTTTCTTAGCTCCTAAGGAGAAATAGGAGGGTCCTAGCAACACCCACTTCAGGCTGTTGGCTCTGATTGGGTATCCATCCCTGAAACAATGACTATTAGGGGGTGGAGCCATTGGGTGGTATGAGCCAATTAGGGCCTGCCCTGGGAATTTAAAGTGGTTTCAGCCCCACCCCTCTCCTGAACCACATGGTGAGACTGGGAGTGTGGGAGAAGGGGAGACATATGCAAGGAGGCAACCCAGGAATGTCCAGTACACTCAGGTGATGGGGTTTGGGGAAGCTCCGGAGGCTCGGTGTCAGAGGTTCAGGTTTCATCAGGGTCCTGAGGTCCTGAGGGCAGGGGGCAGATGGCTAAGAGCCCAGCCTGGGAGTCAGATCAAAGCTGACAAATGGTGAGAGTGCTTGCCGTGAGCTCCAAGAGCTGACAGGTATCCTCACCCCTGGAACCTCAGGACTCTGGCCAAGGAAGTGTAGCAACCTAGAGAATGTTGGCTCCAAGACCTATTCTGCTTTGTGCTTCCGCTCCTGGGCGCCGTCTCCACTAGCGAGACTGCTTTCCAGGAACGTTTCCCATGTGATGAGGTGGAAGCCCTCTGCTCATTTAGTGGGATAACTGGGGACTTGGTGCTCCTCTAGGCTGAGAATTTGGATCTCCAGAGGTGTCTTGCTTGTGACGCTGCTGCTTTTTGTGGGAGGAGCTAGAGCACTGCGGTGGCAGGGGCTGTGCTTCGGGGCTCCAGTGCAAAGCCAGGAGTGTGCAGCCGGGATGCTGAGGGGACAGACTGGAACCCTACCTGTTAACTTGGAGCACCCCTAACTGGTACCACTGATTCCTCTCGCTTTGCTTTTTTCTCCTAGCACTAATGCTCTGATCTCCGCCAGTGTTGACTTATTTATTACGTTTTCAGCTACTTCCCCTCTAGAATGGAAGCTCTGAGGGCAGGGACACTGATCTGTTTCTCTCACCAGTGTTTCACAGCACCTGTTGATGGTGCTCAATTCAGTCTATTTGTTGAGTTAATGAAAGCATGTATAAGTGGTTTACATTAATGAACTCCTTTCACATAGTTCTTATTACTTCTGGATTGAAATCTGCAGTGGCAACAATGTTTTCCGGATCATTAAGGATTCTTCCCTACAGTGGGAAGATGCTCCCACCCATTCAGAGCGGGTTTAGCCGAAGCAGGGAGCTGTGGTGAACCGCCACCAGGGGGAGCAGTGGACACGTTCTGCAGCTGCTGAAGGAAGCTCACCCTTGGCGGGAGCTCCAGGACACTATCATGGGGAGGAGGTTGGGGGTGTAGAGAGAAGTGGAGCATCCTTTTTGATTCCGAAGAAAGGCAACTCAAAGAGCTTGTCAGAATGGTGGGACTTTGTTGAAAACCTCAGTCTGGAGTTTGGGGGTACCCTTTTCCTCCTTCCATAATCTCAATTATATTTTATCAGTTTTTCATGGTCTGCTGTTTAAATAAGATAGCCTTCTGTTAGCCAGCAGCTAAAGTTGATTAATGGTGCCAACTAACATTGATTGTGTGTATCAGTTTCCTGGGGCTGCCTCGGCAAATGACCATGCACTCAGTGGCTTAAAACAACAGAAATTTATTCTCTCATAGTTCCGGACACTGGAGGTTCAAAATCAAGATGTTGGTAGGGCCATGCCCCACTGAATACTCAGGGAGGATCCTTCCTTCTCTTCCAGCTTCTGGGGGCCCAAGCTTTCCTGGGCTTGTGGACACATCCCTCCCATCTCTGCTTCCTCCTTCTGTGGCCTCTCCTGTGTTCCTCCTCTTCTTCTGACTGTGTTAAAACATTGAGGATAGGTTAACTGGTTAGAGCCAACTAAGTCGAAGATGGCAGAAGACTTGACTTCCAGGAGACCTTGAGCTTCACTGCAGGCTCACTGTAATACATTAGCTGCTAAATGGCCCTCGCACAGCCACCGTGACAGTTCTGAGGCTGGCCATAAAAAGTAAAGAGTGGGCAGTTGCCCAATTCTGGGACATCTTCCTTTCCCCAAAATAGCTGAAATAATTCTCCCACTTGTTAGCATATGAAGTCACCAAGTGCATAAAAATGAACAATCCCAAATCCCAGGGCCTCTCACCTCTCGCCTCTCTGGCCTTCTAAGATGGCCCGCTCTGTGTCTGCTGAGTGTGCACCTCCCTGAATAAGTCTGCCTTCACTCTACTCTGGCTCACTCTTGAATTTGTTCCCACGGGAAGCCAAGGACCCTCACTTGGCAGGGCACATCCCAGAGGCTTGCCTGAGACCTGGGACGTGACCATCCTCTCTCCTCTCATTTTCCTGCAACTTTCTCCCCTGGTACCTGTGTCCCTTCTCCCCTTATAAGGACGCCAGTCGTTAGGCCCAACCTATTCCAGTGTAACCATCATCTTAACTAATTATATCTGCCAAGACCCAAGTTCTAAATGAGATCAGAGTCTCAGGTTGTAGGAAGGACATAGATTGGGGGGGGCAGGGCACCCCAGTACAGCACCCTTCCTCTGGCAGTTTCCCAGCTATTGGCTTTGCATCCAGAAACAATTGGAGTGGACAGCCAGCTACTAAAGCTTCCTCTTCCATAAGCTTCTTTTGTTTGGTTTCCTCTAGGGACTGTGGGGGTCTGGGCTGGGGTGCACTGGGGCTCACGCTGAGGCTTGTGAGAGGACCAGGGGCCTTGGAGGCCCCAGCAGAGATGTCAGGCAACCAGTGGGTTCTCTGTGGGTGCCTGAGAGATGTGAGGGCCAGGGGAGGAGGCTGGAGTGTCAGCTGCACACGGTGGAGTTAGCGTCGTGGGTGAGGACCCGGCGGCCTGGGGCAAGGACACAGACTGGGAAGAGGGCCCAGCCTTGGAAACTACGAATTTGAATGGCAACCCGGGTGAGGCAAGTCTGTAAAGAAGATGGAAACTGAGAAGTCCCGTGGAGGGCAAGAGGGAGTGGGCGACCGGGTCAGATGCTGGCGAGGAGGAGAGAGGATAGAAAGGTGTCCAGTGGGCTTGAGGGCCAGGAGAGTGCTGGAGACCTTAGCAAGAGCTGTTCGCTGGCAGGGTGAGGAGGTGGCCAGTTAGGAGTGAGAGACAGGAGAATGACCAACTCTAAGGAAACTGAGAGCTGCGGGGGTGGGGGGGGTGGCTGGAGGGGCCTGGGGGGTCAGGATTTGACTTTATTTCATTAAGGTGGAAGAGACCCAAGCATAGGTCAGTTCTGATGGTAAGTATCTGGTTGACCATAGAAGTCGTTGGACCCGCAGCTCTGTGCTCCTCTGTTCAGGAGCGGTGACGGGGAGCAGGGCCTGGGCTGTGCGCTGTGGCCACTCTGTGTCCCGAGGCGCTGAGTTCAGCTGCCCCGGGTCCATGGAGCTGCTGAACCTTTCCCCGGGCCTGAGGCCAGCGACGGGGAGCTTCCCCTGGTCAACGAGCCCTGACGACTGGCTGCTGATTCTCTCCCTTTGCAGATGGATGAGATCAAGGGGAAAGACCGTGTGATTCTGGCCTTGGAGAAGGAACTTGGCGTGCAGACTGGGCAGACCCAGAAGCTGCTTCTTCAGAAAGAGGCTTTGGATGAGCAGTTGGTTCAGGTCAGAGAGGCTGAGCGGTACCACAGTAGTCCAAAGAGAGAGCTCCCGCCTGGCATCGGGGACATGGCCGAGCTCATGGGCGTCCAGGTGAGGGGCTCGTGCAGGCGCTGGGGCCTCAGAGCCGACCACCCACCCGTCCTTCCTTCTACTGGTCATTCTTCCAGTCAGCTGCCCACTCTCCGTTCTCCCTCCTTCCCTCCCTCCCATCCACCTGTCCATCCTTCCTTCCCTCCCTGACCCCTTCCTCCCCACATGTGCTTACATTCACTATGTGCCAGGCCCAGTGCTAGGCACGGGAGTACAGAGGTGAGGGTCGGGCTACTTTCGCCTCCTGTGGTCTTAGGGCTCAGCTGAAAACAAAGACATGAAGGCAGGAGTGCGGAGTATCGGAGTATCCAGGAGGAGCACAGCCAGGGGCCCAATCCGGACAGGGTGTGACCTAAAGGCCCCGCCTGTGAGGGGGAGCCAGGCCAGCAGCGGGGCGTCTGGGCCACGCTTGGTACTTAGCAGAGGAGGCCGAAGCTGCATTCACTCATTCATTTACTAGATGGTTAAGTGTCTGTCTCCAGGAAGGTCCCCAGAGACATGCAGATGTTAGGGAGCCACTGGAGGGTTTGAGACCTCATCGCCTTTGAGATGAAGCCTTTCCGCCTGTCACTTGACACGGGGGAGCCCCAGCGCGGTGTCCGGTCCCTTTAACGAGGAGCCCACCTTTGTCCTGAGAGTTTTCCAAGAAGGGTCCGTGGAGCGCTTTGATTCAGTTAAGCTTCAAAGTGCACTTACATCTTGATTCTTTTTTAGGATCAACATATGGACGAGCGAGATGTGCGCCGATTTCAGCTGAAAATTGCTGAGCTGAATTCGGTGATACGGAAGCTGGAAGACAGAAATACCCTGTTGGCAGACGAGAGGAATGAACTGGTAACCAGCCCCCAGAGACAGATGGTGCCTGTGGGGTGCAGGGAGGCGGCCCCGGGGCCACAAGCCACACCTTAAACAGGGAGTTCACGCAGAGGCCTTTCCTCGCCTTTCCTTCTGATTTCTCTCTGATTAAAAACCGAACACACGCTCGTTGAGGAAGCCTGTTGTTTCTGCAGGGATTTATCCCGAGCGAGCAGTCAGGGACGTTCAGTGAGGGGTCTGAAGAGCTTGTTCATTGCAGTGATGATTAGCAGCAACCGAAACCAGACCAGAACACAGCGGAGCCCCAGTTGTTCAATACTCAGTATTGGTCACAGTATTGTGGGACATTTCTGCAGTGAGCTGCATGCAGTCGTTAAGAATCATGTTATAGGTCATATTTAATTGCCATAGACATTTGTGCACCATAAATTAAATGATAAAAACTGTTTACAGAACAAAAATACGTTGTAATCATCCTGGATACTGGAAGTTTTTTTAGGTGGTGTGATTATAGATAATCTTAATTTTTTCTCATCTTTTTACTTTCCTTTGCAAAAAAACTTCTAATTTTAAAAATAACGTGCACTTCCGGTTAAAAAAATAAATAAAACAAGAATAACAATTTATTGAATATGTTTAAATTTGCTGGATAAACAGCTAAACTAATTTTTATGTAGTGGTAGTCAGTACATAAATTTCTCGACAAATACCTCATAATGTTTCTCTTTATTCTAAATTTTATTATGAAAGTAAGTATCTATATATTTGAAAACATGGGAGATGAAGTGTTAAGAATGTCACCGCTTCACAATTTTAGCAGCATCAGAATAAATTCATTTCCTTCCAGTATTTTCAAAGACATATTTTTATATAGCCTTCATCAGACTGAACGTCTAATATTATGTCTCCACTTTTCACTTAAATTTTCATGAGCTTAAAAAAAATCCCTTATGGGAGGCAAAATAGTTTACTAAGTGGATTAGAAAAAAATATGGTTTGCTGGAAACAATTCAGACCTTGTGAAGTGTTTAAAGTGAGAACGGATAAGTTTGCCAGCACTTGGATCTTAAAATCACGAGATAACTACTGTTAGCAGTTTGAGGTGGTTCTTACGTGGTTTTAATGCTTCTGCAAACATTTCGACACCCGCTGAGGGACTTTCTTTGTCGTTTTGCGGTTACAAGCGGGCTATTTTCCCTACGTATGGTTGTCCTGCAACCTGCTTTTCCCGCGTGGGTGATCAGCGGCGGCGCTCCCCACCAGTGCCTGAAGACGCCCCTTGGTCTTTTGAACAGCTGCGTCGCGCTCTGCTGTGTGGACAAACCCTGGTTTATCTACCTGTTCCTCTGCTGCTGAATGGTTAGGCCATTTCAGGTTTCTTTGCCGTTAGAAACAAGGCCACACAGAAGACGCATTTCTGTCTTTACTCACCTGAACCTTTGTGTCTGTGGGGTGTGTTTCTAGAGGTAGAATGTTCAAGTCCAGGGACGTTTTACATTTTCACGGCTGCCATCAGTGTTGGATCTTAACTTGCACAGCCTGGTGACCAAAAGCTGGGCTCTGCCGTCAGTCCCTTGTGTTTGACTCTTGGTTCTGGCACTTTCTGCTTGACCTTGCACACATCACCTCACCTCCTAGTGGTCAGGTTCTTTGTCAATGAAGTGGAAAGGGGATGCGGATGGGCCCCCTCCTCAGGTCGTGGTGAGAGTTAGACGAGAGAGGATGCCTGAAAGGGCTTAAGTAACATCGGTTTGGACTCCTGGCGGGTGCCCAATGTGTGCAGCAGTTCTTGGGGTTGTCTAGATACTGATGAATCTTCAAGTCGTTTCTAATTTTCATCCGTTAAAATAACCCTGCAAAGAGTATCACCCTGCGTTTAGTTCTGAGGCTCAGCAGGGAGCCTGCACTTGGAAGCCAGGCATCCGCGGCTCTTTTGGGTTTGTGCACCACCCAGGAAATGCGGTCCCAACGGTGGCAGCTCCAGTCTCGGAAGAGGCCAGGCAGGATCTCCACTGGCCTCCGCGGTTGACATCAGCCACCCGTCGAGTCTTAAAGCCGCCCGCCCTCTGTCTGTCTGAGCACAGCTGAAACGCTCCCGAGAGACGGAGGTCCAGCTGAAGCCCCTGGTGGAGAAGAACAAGCGAATGAACAAGAAGAATGAGGACCTGCTGCACAGCATCCAGAGGATGGAGGAGAAGATCAAAAACCTCACGAGGGAGAACGTGGAGATGGTAAGTACCTGGCCCCGGAATCCCTGCCTCTGCCTGGGGTTCTCCATCCCTGACCTTCGCCCTCCTCATTCTCTGGGGCCACCTCCCACCTGCCTCCCTGGGCAGCCTGGTGAGCAGTCTCGGTGTTCCCCCGTCCCTCGTGCCCTCCGTTCTTCAGAGTTCACAGCACTGTAGGCATCCATGCTTGATGGAGAGCGCCAGGTCATCGGACAATGGGTCTGCGCCCCTGCTCTGCCATCTGCATCCCAGGGTCCTGAAGCTCAGCCTTCATTCTCTCCAAGCCTCAGCTTTCTCATCCGTGAAATGGGAATGAAAATATCAGTTCTGTGGGGTTATGGAAAGGAGGGAGTGATGTCATAGAAAGTTCTCCCAGAAAACCCATATCACTGGGGAGGCTCGGGTTGTGAAAGCCATGAGGACCTTGCTCTAAGTGCTTTGCATAAGGGTCTTTTATTTGCTCCAAAAAGAATAATTGGTCTTTGTGGCCAGGATGGTGTCTTGTAGTTGATGGTTTAAGGAATGCTCTGAGGTTCACTGTCCAAGGCGGTGTCAGTCATGCCCATTTGATAGCTGAGAAGACTGAGGCTCTGGGAGACAGGACGCCCTCCTCCCTGTCTCCTGACAGGTCCAGGTGTTAGTGTGTGTCATTGCCCTGTGTGCTGCGCTCTCCTCCCCGAGCATCCAAGCTGTCCAGGCTTGGTGCAGACCTCCACCTCTCCCCTAGAATGCCTGCCCAGCCCTTCCCGTCCGCAGTGCGTACGGTCAGCCGTACCTCGGGCCTGTCTTGTCTACAGCTATCTGCTCCTCCAGTGTGGGGACAGGTGGCCGCCATCCCTACCTCCATCCTTCCAACTCGTATCCCCAAGCCCATGCTCGTGCCCGGATGTGCATGATGGGTCCTGGACAAGCGTTGCAGGCGAGCAGCCCTGCAGTGCCCTCTCCCTTGGCTGCAGAAGGAGAAGCTGTCAGCCCAGGCATCCCTGAAGCGGCACACTTCCTTGAACGACCTCAGCCTGACAAGGGACGAGCAGGAGATCGAGTTCCTGCGGCTGCAAGTGCTGGAGCAGCAGCACGTCATTGACGACCTCTCACTGGTGCGTCTGTGCGGGTGACGGCCCTCAGGGGGCGCCACGCGACACCGGGCTGCAGGGCGATGCTGCAGAAGGGGGCGGGTCTCACGGAGCTCCTCCTGGTGATGGGCACCGCGCTGCTTTATTCTGCCGGAAAGCGGCTTCCACATCGTTTACTGCTGTGACATCACTGGTACCTGGGAGCAGTTTCCATGGCTACTCTTTTTCTCAAATCTTATCCCCAGTTTGCTGCCATTAAGAAGCAGCAGCATCGCTTCTCGGCCTTTTGGCTGAGAGCAAGTGTAGTACGGTTCTCACCAATTTAATGTCTGATATGTCCTCTATTCGAGGCAGTATATTAAACAGATGTTTGGAGCAGAGAGTTGGAATAGGCGCTGGCTCCACCCACTCCACACATCAGCCTGGTATTGCAGTACGTCCAGGAACGGTGCGCCCCCTCTAGGGGAATGATACTGGTGCATTAAAGTAGGTGTGTGTTTAAAGAAACAGAAGCAGCAGTTTTAAGAAAGAGTCTTCTGACCTGTACAGAGTGAGCATGATCTTTCCCCCAAAAGTCTAATTATTTTTAGCTTAGTTGTTACAGACTGTGAACTCGAGTACCTGAACCTTATAAGCAGACCAGATTTTGAAGGACTTGCTGAGACTGTGTGTGTGCATGTGTTTGTGTGTGTGAAGATTAAGGGAGGTGTGAATATATTTTAAGTAGGTGGAGGGTTACATCCAGAGAATTCTGCAGCTCTCTGTGGAATGAGCTTAGGCACCTGTAAGGGAGCATCTGTAGTGAGCTTTAGCTGCGTCTTAGAAGCAGAGTGTGTTCTTGCCCAAGGGGTTATGTGATGGTTCTATCCGTGGATCTTTAAAAAGTAGAAATGGCAGGGATCAAAATTCTCAAAAAGGCTTTGACCATAATTGTCGAATTCACTTTGCTTGACTAGCTCTATTTTTTTACTCCTTCCTTCCATCTTTCCACCCATCCATCTCTCCTCCCTCCCATCCTTTCATCCATTTTCCCATCCTCCCTCCTTCCCTCCATCCCTCTATCCCTTCTTCCTTCCATCCTGCCTTCATTCCATCCATCCTTCTATCCATCAATCCTTCCATTCATGTTTGCTTCATGACACTAAAGACTTTATGCAGCTTAAGATAAAAAAAACACTCAAAAATGATAAAGTTGAAAGAGGAACAATAAACAGATAAGTCTGGAAAAAATAAACATGGCAGCATCAGTCAAGATCAGGAGGGACACTGGGGTGGACCACATGGGCTGCAGCCAAGGAGCAGGTTTGTCTTTGGGTTTCCTGGCAGCCGAAGAGAACAGGAGCATTTGATTAGAAAGGAGAGAATTGGCTGGTTTTATCTGGGGCAGCATGCTGCCACGCCAGCTACTGCTCTCTAGGTGCCATTTCTACTGACAGGAGCCACCAGCTGTCTGCAAGACAAGTTCTAGCCCATATAGCAAGGGAAGAATCTGAGAATCAGAGAAAAAAGATGTGTCACCTGGCCAGGAGGAGGCCCCAAGAGGATTTGGCCCCAGTTCTGTCTGAGATCAAATCTGCAACCTTTTTCATTTTCTGCTGTGGTCAGTGACAGAGCAGATATCTGGTCAGCACTGCTTAAAGCCTTAAAGCTTCCGGCCCCAAAGGCAGATGGGCTGGAGTTTTACAGGACTGGCAGATCTTGGCTTTTTTCTCTGGGATGGTCTAAGCCCAGTTAATGGTGTGGCTCTGCAGCGATTAGTTCTGAGAAGCAGCTGTCCCTTGGATGCTCAGAACCTGGACTTAGCCCATGCCCAGTGCAGGCAGGCACAGCAGGGCTGTAAGTCACACCCTCTGAGAGCGCACTGGGTTGGTGGGTGTGATGGGAGGCGAGCTGGAAATGCGAACAGTTGTGTTTCCTTCTAGGAGAGAGAACGGCTCTTGCGCTCCAAACGACAACGTGGGAAGAGCCTGAAGCCACCCAAGGTGAGCCTGCGGTGCTGCGGCTGCGCTGCTCTGTCTCTGTGCCAGGGTCTGCAGGGCCAGTGGTCCAGCGGGAGGGGGAGGGGACACCCCCACCGTGGAGGGGCCCTGAAGGCAGAGATACTTGTATCTCCGCGTGTTTGATGGTGAAAATCCTGTTATTGCCGTCTCTCAAAGCAACATAAATAGCCAGGCCGTGGACTTGGTTCTTGTAATTTATTCATGGAAAACTTACAGATGATTTCTGTTTTTAGGCCACAGGCGCTGCTTGCCCAAAATTAAAACCATAAATACTTAGACCTTTAGAAGGATTTAAAGGACACTTGGTCTTGGTTTATAACATCTTTTATCCTGTTTTGAAAAATCAGGAGCTTTTGGTTCTTTTGGAATGATGCAGAGTGCATTCTTTTTGGAAATTGGGGGTTTGCCCATTTTTTTAGAGATAATTTCCAAATGTCCAGTGAGGAGAGCAGAGCTGGGCTTGGAAAACTCAGATGCCCACAGGGCCCAAGCTGGGATGTAAAAGAGCGAATTGGGGCAGGTAGAAAAAAGGACTTGGTGTGCATTTAAACCCGTAAACATTTTTCACTTCCACGAAGATGTGGGCCTGTTCTTTTTAGTGAATCAGACGGCCCTATAACCATAGAGAGATGGTTGTAGAGAAATATTTTTCTTCTGTAAAGAAAATAGCAGTGCAGATGTGATACCGAATGATCACAGACATACGGCTTTGGTGTCAAGGTCACAGTAGGGAGAGGTGGGGACTGTGGACAACTGAGCCCAGAATATCAGTTGCGACTAGAAAGTGAGCCGGGTGCTGTCGGATATTCCAGTCCTTCGAGAGAAGTGGAGAGCCCCACGTGTTAGTTTCCTGCGGCTTCTGAAACCAAGCACCACAGAATGGGTGGCCTGGAACAGCTGAAATGTGTCATCTCACGGTTTTGGAGTCTAGAAGTCTAAAATTAAGGTGTTCGCAGCATCATGGTCCGTCTGAACCCTGTAGAAGAATCCTTTCCTACCTCTTCTTAGCTTCTGGTGACTTACTGGCAATCTTTGGCCTTATCTTTAAGCTGTGTAACTACAGTCTCTGCTTTCCTCGTCACATGCCATTTTCCCTGTGCGTCTCTGTCACTACACGGCCATCTTCTTCACTGGTCACGTTGGATTAGGGGTCCAACATACTCCAGTATGCCCTCCTATTAACAACTGTTACAGTGACCATATTTGTAAATGATGCCACATTCTAAAGAATTGGGGGGCTAGGACTCCAACAGATCTTTTTGGGGGAGACTCGGTTTAACCCGTAACACCTTTATGTAAAATCCAAGGATTTTCAGTGTTGGTGAAAATGTTTATAGTACACTCTAAATGAGTGAGCCAAATAAAATCGATCTGTGGACCAAATTTGGACACTCGGTTAAATAGCTGTTTTATACCATCTCATTTAATCCTCGTAGCAACCCTGTTGAGGTCAGCGTTGCTTTTTCCATTTTGCAGTTACAGGAAGCATATAGATATAAAATACAGAAATGAGTCAAAGAGATAAAGTAAATTGACAAGGCTGACATCCTAACTGAAGTCTGGGGCTCCAGGGTCCAAACTTGTACGGAGTCAAGTTGAACAAGGCACGGGTCTCTACACGCTGACATTAGAGGCTCAGAAATGGGAAGTGGTTTGGCGGAACTTGGTTATTTTTAAATGCTTGTTTTTATTATGGAAGTAAGATAACCACATCATAAGACTATCTGGGAAATAAGTGGTCCATGGCAGCAGTACCTTCCAGGACAATCAGTCAATCACTGCTGGCATTTTAATGGACTCCTTCCCCCTCCTCCGCCCTGAGTCCTTGCTCTGCTTCCATTTGTTTTTAATAATGCAACTGTAATTGTGGACTGCACTTTTGCACCCTGGTTTTTTTCACTTAACATTATACTATACAGCATTTATCTATGTTATGATGCTGTCACCATAAATATTAATTTCTGTGGCTATATAATCCATCGAGTAGATGGGCCATAAATTTGTGCACCATCCTGTGTCTGCTGGGCGTGTTTGGCTCCACACAGCCATGCGTAATGGTGCAGGAAACACGTCTCTGCCGCCACGCACGGCTCTCCACGGGCCGGTCCTGCTGGAGTCCCTGGGCGCCGGACATTTCAGTCAGTGACCACTCATCCCCTGTTGCTGGACTTCCTGCTTCTATAAGTGTCACCCCAGTGAACTCCTTTTGGCCAGAAAGCTGTGTCCGTAGTCTGGATCACTCCCATGGGTGGATTCCCAGAGGTCAAAATGTGGGTTAGGGGGTGTGGAGGCTTTGATCAAGAACATTCGCTCCCCCCGCCCCCTCACTTTGTAAAAGAGTTATGTGATTTCACAGAGTTGCCAGGAACGTACATGATGCCATTTTTCATCACAAGACATACATTTAAAAAGCAGCATCTGAAAGTGTTCGGTCTGTGGCATGAGCTGGACGTGCTGTGGTGTCACATACCCCATAAAGCATCTAAGTGGGGTTTTGGGGAAACCCACTTTTGAGCTGTGACTGTATTTTTCAAACCTTTACCAGAACGCCTGGAATAAGAAAAATTGTTTCCCCTCTTCCTGATTTCTGAATGTGTTTATGGGAAGAGGACTTTACAAAGGCCTGGAAGGGACTTAGGAGCTCCTAGGCTTGAGTGTACAGCGGGCAGGGAGGGAAGGGGCTGTGTCCTACTCCTGTGTCCTGGTCACTGCCTGGCACAGACTAGGTGGCCTTAAATGGTCGTTGACTGAATAAACAACTGGGAACATGCACTTGCCTGATCCTGGGTCAGCCCGGAAGGCTGACGATGCTCAGTCACTGTAGTTATAATAGTTTGATGCCACTAGAGGGCGGATCCTGGGAACCACTGTGGGAAATTTCCTGGCCTGGCTCAGGGTCTTTCCCACTTACTGTGACCCTCCAGCGTCTTTCTGTTTCTCAAGATTCAGTGTACAACTGCTCCCCTGTGTTTCTACTTAATCCTGGCTTGCCTGGGGCTGGGTGGGGTGGCTGGGTTCATCGGGCAGGTGTTCCTTTTAATTCTTATTTTTTAATTGAAGTGTACTCTCTTTACAATGTTAGTTTCAGGTGTAGAGCAAAACAATTCAGTTATATATATACACACACACACACATATACATATACATACATATATATTTTTTCAGTTTCTTTTTCATTACGGCTCATTATAAGAAATTGAACATAGTTCCCTGTGCTACACAGTAGGTCCTTGTTGTTTATCTGTTTTATATATAGTAATGTGTATCTGTTAATCCCAAACTCCTAATTTATCCCTCTCCTCTCCTTCCCTTTTGGTAACCATAGTTTGTTTTCTACGTCCATGAGTCTGTTTCTGGTTTGTCAATAAAATTTGTATCTTTTCATTTTAGATTCCACATATAAGTGACATAATATGGTATATATCTTTCTCTGCCTGGCTTACTTCACTTAGTATGATCATCCCTAGGTCCATCCATGTTGCTGCAAATGGCAGTATCTTGTTCTTCTTTATGGCTGAGTAATATTCCATTGTGTATATATACATGTGTGTGTGTTTGTGTGTATACACACACCGCATCTACTTTATCATCTGTCATCCGTGGGGCAGGGTTTTCATCCCCCAGGGCTGCCTCTCAGGCCTGGGCATCTTCCCTTCCCTGTCTCCCACTGACCACAAGGATTCACTACTTTCTTTCTCCCCTTAAATGCCTCTATCTCACTGTCTCTTATGCATCTGTGCACTTTGCCACTTTGCCACTTTGCCAGAGTCTTTGCTTGACAGAGTGTCATGGTGAATGCACTGAAGGTTCCAGCATTTCCGGAAGTCTGACAGCCGTCCCTGCTGTCTGGCTATGACAAGCCTCCCTGGACTCGGCGGCTCCCCCAGAGGGGCTCCTGCAATTCCACACCCACAGCCCAGCTGCTGCAGATGTGCCGAGGGCAGAGCAGGGATGTCAGCCCTCATCTTCCAGGGGGGCCACCACGGCCCCAAGGGCTGCTGAGCTGTTTCAGGGGGCTTCTGGGGACAAGACTGGTGTTGACTGTCCCTGCTGGGAGACACTACTAGTTCAGCCCCAAGTGGGGGTTGCAGGAGAAGGACCCTGAGTCGTTCCTCAGGCCCTGTCCAGGGAGAGGGGCTTGCCCTGTGGAAGGTCTGATCAGGACCTAACTGGACACATGGCAGGAGGCGTCGAGTCAGCCATTGGAGCGTGCGGTCTGGCAGCACAGAGTTGTGTCCTAGGAGACCCTGAGCACACGAGCAACGGCTGAACCTAATATAGTTGGTTCACACGCCTTGAGGGTGGGGCTGGTTTCTTGGGTGAGGCTGGGAAGCTGTAGCCTGGAGCAGTGTGGCAGTCGGACCCGGCTTCTAGATGTGTGTCCTTGAACTCTGGGAACGTCTGTTTCCTGGTTCTTAGAATGAACATCACATCCGTGAGATGAAATGAAGCTTCTGGCTCCACGCCTGCCGTGTAGTCAAGGATCAATCAGTTATAGCTTGCCTTTCTCCCTTCATCTTAAATCAGCAGCTTTCTTTTGGAGTCCCTGTTAAATGCAGATTCACAGGCCTTGCCCCTCCCTTCCCCCTCCCCTACTCTAATTCATGTACCCTGCTTTTAGAGACAGTATCAAGTAGCAGTGAGGTGGCATCTCAGTGCCCTTTAGGTGGCAGCCATCCTTCGAGGGGGGGCTGGGAAACATCCAAGTGCTACCGGAGAATAGACCCTTCCTTAGGCTCAAGCATCTGTTCTGTGGTCCCCTCTCCCAAATGGACCATGGACCATGGCTCTGCTGTCACCAGGAAGCAGATGACTCCTGAGGAGCTTCTGGCCGGCCCCTCCTGGCCAGTGGCTCTGGCATCCATTCTGATAGGACACCTGAGGCCTAACCAAACTTGACCCTGTGCCCCCGAGGCCAAGCCTGTAGCCTAATGGAGGGGAGGACGGGGCGCCGCAGCAGCCCTGGAACAAGCCGGCTGACG